ACCTTGTAAATTTGATTTTTAAAATGGTCGAATTATCGAAAGTGTCGAATTATCGAAAGTGTCGAATTATCGAAAGTGTCGAATTATCGAGTGTCGAATTACAGTTTGTTTATGTATTTTTTAATAAGGTCCTCTTATCTTATCTGCAATATAGTTGTATTTTTCGAAATTTTATTTTCTAATTTGTTAATTTCTTTCTTTTTTTTTTCACTCTAATAATATTTATTTAAATCTAATAATTTTTATTTAATGCAATTTAATTAATAATTTATTTAATCCAATGTCTATAGTTTCTTCCCTGAAATTGCTTACCAAACATGAGTCAGTGTTTCCACAGTGTTAACAGTTGGAGTGTTAGAATGCGGAGTAGCAAAATAACTCCCTACTGAATTTCTCAATAGTCTCACTCCCAGAGGAATGCATCCACACCAGTTAACCTCTAGGTTGGTACTATTGTTATGCTTCTGAGAAGTTTTAATCCTAAGCAGGGTCTTTGAAAATGGTACACGTATGGTGATACAGTGCATGTGCTCTCATGTCCTTAAAGTAGTGTAGTTCTGTTGTTTGCAATTTCATTTTCTGATTTGTTAAAATTTTTCTTCTATAGTTTCTCACCTGTGGGTCCTTCGGGTAAACCCGGGGCGTTGCCCGGGTCACTCGGCTAGTATGTATATAAAAAAGCAAAGCCCAATTCTAAACCCAAATATTTTTTTTATAAGAAGAACATCAACATATTGCATGATTACGGCAGTCCATAGCTTCCCTGACAAAAATTCACCAAGAAAGTAAAATATTCCAAAATTTTTCTGTGTGTAAATTGCTAAATATGTAAAAAACATGTATACAAAAAAGCAAAGCCCAATTCCAAACCCAAATATTTTTTTTATGAGAAGAACATCAACATAATGCATGATTACGGCAGTCCATAGCTTCCCTGACAAAAATTCACCAAAAAAGTTAAATATTCCAAAAATATTTCTGTGTATATATTGCTAAATGTGTAAATAACATGTATATAAAAAAGCAAAGCTTAATTTTAAATTTCATTATCCTTTTCACAGGAAAAGCATCAAAATACTGCATAAGTACGGCACTTTTGCAGCCGCATGATTACGGCAGTCCATAGCTTCCCTGACAAAAATTCACCAAAAAAGTTAAATATTCCAAAAATATTTCTGTGTATATATTGCTAAATGTGTAAATAACATGTATATAAAAAAGCAAAGCTTAATTTTAAATTTCATTATCCTTTTCACAGGAAAAGCATCAAAATACTGCATAAGTACGGCACTTTTGCAGCCCCCTGACAAAATTCACTAAAAGAGGTAAGTATTCAAAAAAATATTTTGGTATATATATTGCTAAATGTGTAACAAACATGTATATAAAAAAGCAAAGCTTAATTCTAAGTTCTAATATTTTTTTTTATAAGAAAAGCTACAAAAGCAAATAGGGAGAAGTGAAGCCATTTAGCCATTTTCAAAATCTGATTGTGAAAGAGTAAAAAAATGAGTAAATAAGAGCAAATATAAAGAAAAAGTATTGCTAAATGTGTAATAAACATGTATATAAAAAAGCAAAGCTTAATTCTAAGTTTTAATATAAAGAAGAAATAAGACACAAAAATGGAGCTAAATTCAAATGAAAAACTATAACAAATTAATAAAAAAAAAATAAGACCTAATCCAAATGCCACCATCATCAGACAAAAGAAAAAATGAGATTTTATTCTTTAGTTCATTTATTCTTCTGTCTGATGCTGTTGCTGAAACGTCACACACTATTAAATTATTTGGATTAGGTCTTATTAATGAGAAAAAAAAGATGCCAAAGAGAGATGAAAAGATGCCAAAAAAGATAACCAGATACAAAAATTGTGCTAAATTCAAATGAAAAACTATAACAAACACTTATAAAAGATAATTATTATAGAATAAAAGTAATAATTCAATCTACAATTCGAAAAATTTATATATTTAAATGAAAAACTATAACAAAGTACTTACATAATCAAATGAATCAGAAATATATATTATTTCAAAACACATTTTTACGCATTTCAAAACAAATGAATTGATGATGATAAATGCAAAAAATCTACGATTGTAAAATAGATTAAATTAAAAAATAAAAATAACTGTTAACATTAGGAAAATATAAACAGGCCTATCATACGAAGAAAAAAATAACGAAAATTTTGGTATATAGATTGTTATGTGTAGTTCAGAATCTTCGGAGGAGATAGCTCAGGACTTTACAATGGAAAACTCTGTTACGGTATTATCTATATAGATAGTGTTGTTCTCATCGTAATATAACAGAAAGTTATGAAAATAGAGCAATCCATACTTAAATAATTAGATATAAAAGGCATATATTGGATTGAATAAAATATTTTTTCTCTCCTTTAATATTTTAGGATATTTAACTTTTTCTGATTGTAATTTTTATATATATATTTTTTTCATGCGCAAATTTACCTCACCTACTTTGAATTTGAAAAAAAAAAAAATTAAACTGTGATAACACGATGCGGCGCTGTGTTGGTTTATACAAAAATGTAATGCCTTGATAAAGGTTTGGCGTTCAACCAACCGAAATATTGGCAAATAAATCTTATATTCAATCCAATATATGCCTTTTTACTATCTAATAATAGAAAATATAAGTTTATATTGAAAGATTGATATATGGCCAAACATTTTATAAATTAAAATAGGACTAGATTTCAAACCACGGGTTCTCATCCTCGGGGTCTTATCTAAGCCTACTTACAAAATAGCTATACTAGAAAAACTCTATAGTTTCTATTGCTTATCCCTAGTACATGTGGTACAAGCCATGATAATCATGGTGAGTAGAGGTAGGCGACTGCTTTTACTGTAAGAGCACCACATGTCTACACATGCGAAAAGCAGTTCGACTTTGCACTTACAAATATGCCAGAGCACCGTTTAGTTACTTGCACTCGCTGGTGGGATTGGACTTTTGCAAGAATCGGGGGTCTTTGGAGCTGTGGTGTGTCTATTTAATAGTCCAGCGATGACCCAGAAAGTATTTCAAAGTTAGTGTTTTATTGGTATTACTTATTAGCTACATTTTTAGAGGAAGACAAAAAGGACACCACCCTAGAATGTCTATTCTGGTTCTGCCGATGTGCCGCGCCGCGGTGGCCGTCTCCTATTTCATGTCCCCGCTTGTATGTTTGCTGACGGCGTGCTCGTCATCCAAAGGAAGGAAGTCTCTCGGCCCCCACAGAGCATATAGAAAAATATAATAAAGATTATTTCCTGCTTTTACACTTTCACTAAATCAATAAGCATTCTAGATTCCTTATTGATTTGTCAAATAGTAATGTATATATTTAGGGCTAATCAGTGGTAAACCTTTTCAGCGACTTCGACATTTTTTAAAAATTTGCATTCATTGCCATACATTACCGATCCCAGGTCGGTGTACAGATGGTCTAAACCGTTGGTTTTTAACCGCTACGACCCGGGTTCGATCCTCCAATAGCTCCCGATTCTTATAAAAGTCCAATCCCACCAGGGAGTGAAAGTAACCAAACGGGGGGCTCTGGCATATTTGTAAGTGCAAAAGTCGAACTGCTTTTCACATGTGTAGACATATGCACTTACAGTAACAGCAGTCGCCTTCTTCTACTCATCATGGTAATCATGGCATGTACTACGTGTACTATGGATAAGCAAAAAAAAAAAAGATGTAGAAATAAACTATATTTGACTAGAGAAAATAGAAAGAAATGGTAGGATATAATGAAATTTGGCATGAATATATCAGTATATAAATCTCTATTCATGATAAAATTGTGAAAACGTTTGAAATTACAAAATATAATTATAATACCAGTAAATGCTAAAACAGAAAAAATTATTTTAAAATATGAAAGGAATATACACTCAAGGAAGTGGAATGTTTTTTTATGTCGCTGGCCGCTTTTTTTTTAGGAGACGGAGGAAATTTTATTCACACATGGTTATCTCAATATCTTTTAGAGTTATTGTCTGAATCTCCATATACATGCTGAAAGGTACAACTTACTTAAATTTTATCCATGAGTGTAAATATAACTATATTTTTAGGCTTTTTGCGTTCAAAATGTTATAAGTAAATATGAAACGAATTCTATGTTTTTCCAATCGCTTCTGGACTTAATACTATAAATTTACTTTAGTGTATATTCCCTCACAATGACATAAACATTCTAGTAAGCTAGACTGATCACTTTAACCGAGATTAAAGAGGGTAAAAAGCAAAATATAAAATGCGATAGGACAATTCAATAGTTGGCGATACCACTAGGAGGGTTCACTACTGATATATAAGCTAGACCCTTCTATTATTTTATCATTGCAGTAAGATAATATGGATTTACGGGCTACTAATCAAAGTGAATATTATAATTGCGGTAAGGGCAGTAGGAAATTGTTGTATTTCAAAAAGAAACCTACGTGTCAAACAATAGTTTAAATTTACAATATAGATTGAACTGGCGAATTATTTAGGAGAGTGATCCATTGGTGAAAGTCTTTGCTCCCAATACATGTTTAATTTTATCTTCAATGGTTGTAGAAATGTCTTAGAGTATTAAAATAAGAGGAATCGCCAGATATAATTCATAAAAAGGTATAAAAAGCTAACTTCGATGCGTTTATTTATTGGGAAGCTTTCAGACAATAACGTTTTTCAACAGGCTGTATTACGGATACCTATATAGGTATTTAGCTTGTTGGTGGTCGTTATTGACCGAAAGGTCGCCAAGATTTTACCTTTTTAATAAAGAAACTCATCACCGTTAACGTTTATCTCTTCTTAGAATTGTCTTCATCATATAAAACACAAATAGAATAATATTGAGTATGCTCAATATTGAAGCTACAGGATTTCGAGGTGTTAAGCTGGTGCTGAAAGTTGAGAATATGGTTTTACGGGCTACTAACCGAAGTGTATGATTTTCGAACCAAAAAAAAAAAAAAAATTGCTTCGCCAGGAATCGAACCCGAGCCTCCTGGGTGAGAGTCAAGTATCCTATCCACTAGACCGCGTGAGAGTTAAAAAGATGCAGATACCCGGGATCGAACCAGGGACCTTTAGATATTCAGTCTAACGCTCTCCTAACTGAGCTATTTCGGATGTTGCTGAGAATTAAGAGAGTACCAATTGAAGATGTCCTTAAAACGATTAGGGAGGGATATGGCCTACTGGAGAAGATTGAGAGGAGAAGCATGTTTGGACATCTTCCCCGACACTCGGAGTTAATAAATGTATTGCTGGAGGGATGTATATGTATGAAAAACCAAGAAGAAAAAGGCCAGGCATTTTTTTATTATCACATTGTATATTAATTCATTAGATAAAATTTTTAAAAGTTATTCAATATTAATATAAAAACGAACAATACGTATATTTTTATTGTGAAATAAGCAAGCTTTCGAGCAATGACGTTCTTTTATACTGGTTTTACTATGTCAAATCTTGACACTGTTAAACCAGTAGAAGAGCATAGCTGCTCGAAAGAAGAGAGAGTTCGCTTTCTTCACACAAAAAAATTACTAATTTGTTAATTTTTAAATTAAGTTTGAATTTTCATGGATTAAATTAAAAATCTTACTATGATTGGAATATGGGTCCTATCTTGAGGCTCCCATACATTCCAAGAGGTGATTCGGTGAGGCCTTTCTGGTCATGCAGAATGGTACATTGTGAGAATGTCTTGACAACCTGCTATAAAAGGAGAAGTTTTGTATGGCAGGCCGAGAATGGAATTTTTGAACAATTTTGGAAGAGGGCCCTACGATACCATCAAAATACCAGCCATAGAAAGGAGGCGCTGAGAGGACAGGAATACTGCCATCCACTAACCTATGGCTGGTTGAGGAGAAATAGATAGACCCTGCGATACCATCAACAGACTAGCCGTAGAAAGGAAGCTCTGAGAAGACAGGAATACTGCCAGCTACCAACCTATGGCTGGTTGAGGAGAAATAGATAGACCCTACAATACCATCAAAAGATTAGCCATAGAAATGAAGCTCTGAGAGGACAGAAATACTGCCAGCCACCAGCCTATGGCTGGTTGAGGAGAAATAGATAGACCCTACGATACCATCAACAGACTAGTTATAGAAAGGAAGCTCTGAGAGGACAGGAATACTGCCAGCCACCAACCTATGGCTGGTTGAGGAGATATAGATAGACCCTACGATACCATCAACAGACTAGCCATAGAAAGGAAGCTCTGAGAGGACAGGAATACTGCCAGCCACCAACCTATGGCTGGTTGAGGAAAAATAGATAGAGCCCACGATATAATCAATAGAACAGCCATAGAAAGGAAGCTCTGAGAGGATAGAAATACTGACAGCCTCCAACCTATGGATGGTTGAGGAGAAATAGATAGACCCTACGATACCATCAACAGACTAGTCATAGATAAGAAGCTCTGAGAGGACAGGAATACTGACAGCCTCCAACCTATGGATGGTTGAGGAGAAATAGATAGACCCTACGATACCATCAACAGACTAGTCATAGAAAGAAGCTCTGAGAGGATAGAAATACTGACAGCCTCCAACCTATGGATGGTTGAGGAGAAATAGATAGACCCTACGATACCATCAACAGACTAGTCATAGAAAGGAAGCTCTGAGAGGACAGGAATACTGACAGCCTCCAACCTATGGATGGTTGAGGAGAAATAGATAGACCCTACGATACCATCAAAAGATTAGCCATAGAAAGGAAGCTCTGAGAGGACAGAAATACTGCCAGCCACCAACCAATGGCTGGTTAAGGAAAAATAGATAGAGCCCACGATATAATCAAAAGAACAGCCATAGAAAGGAAGCTCTGAGAGGACAGGAATACTGACAGCCGTCTATCTATGGCTAGTTGAAGATTAATTAATTGATGCTTTAATTGGAGGAGTTACAAGAGACCTGTTCAAAATTAATTATTCCCTTTCAACCGTTATTGCACCACACACTTGACTGGACATGTATAGATATTTTCTTTTTATGGGCGCCACTTTTTCTTTTATAAATAAAATAGCTTCCTTCAGTCCTTACTGCGATGAGTTGTTGAGGGGGCTTGGCTCATCAATGGAGACACACCTAGTGGTTTCGCTACTTTAATCCCCCAGAACGTTCTACTGTGGCTTTCGGATATTTTGACCTTATGTACATACAAGTATATCAGCCCAATACAACATTAGAGCGGTTTGGTGGATTAAATTTTCGAAGCCACTGGAAGGTCGCCATGAGCCAAGCTCTCCCAAAAATATTTTATCAAATCAAGTTTAATAGAGAGTTGTTGTTGTGTGTGTGTGTGTGTTCAATGAAGAGCCTCAGATATCCCCAAGCATCTCTATCGCAGCAGTCGCAATGTCCACTATCTTGGGTGTGTAAAGCTGCTGCTCTGGGTCTATGTCAAGGCTGCGACCATTGCTGAGCATGAGAATATGTGAGTAAGTGTTAGTTACATACCAGGACAGTTGTGGCATTTCCCATAGGTTTTTGTGCTATCTGAATGTATTTTTCTTTCTCTTTTTTTGATTTTTTTATTCTTCTTATTTTTTATTCTTTCTTATAATCTGTATATATTTACCAAATGTATATAATCTTCCTCCATTTTCTATTTCCCACTTTCATAGGTTTCTCCGTTTTGTAACCCCAAGGAGAATCCTCTGTAAGACCTGTGTGTCTTAATAAAGGCTTTTGTGTGTGTGTGTGTTGTGTGTGTGCTATCTGAATGTATTGTCATTCCTTTATAGTGTTTCGTTCTGAGCTGAGTAAGAATAGAATTGTTTTATTCATAAAAAAGGACAATTCATTCTTAATGGTTTAATTTCTTGTACATCTCGTAGATGACGTGTTAAGGTTAATGTTAATTTATCTTTTCACCATAAAATACATTCCTCTTCCAACTTTAATGTACACTGAGGCTTGTTAATATAATTCTTACATGTTTAAATATATATATTCTTGATTGGAATATATAAAGAGGTATACATTCATGGACAAAACTAAAGGAACTTATGTATATCGGTATTCAAGCACAATAACTCCGAATGATTTTGATATACAGCGACCTTTATTGAAGATTACTAGATAACCAAGTGTAAACAAAGCTAGCTGAAGAAGGGCTTATCCGAATGCTTCCTTTCATCAAGTCAATAAAAAAAAGTTGAGGCGTCTTATGTTTTTTTTTTTTTTGTAATTTGTCGAAATTTGCAATCCTTTGATAATGCATCGGTCACAGTGGGGTACGATCCTCCTGTCTCCAGTGCGTCCTAAGCACCAGCACGACAATCTGCCCGAGTAGCTGTTATAGAAACGTGTATGTTTGTATTCTGGTCTGAAGATCTGGATTCTGACTTATTCCTCTAAATATCCTTCTCATCAAGAAACCATCGACTAGCACTAGGCGATGTCGATTAGCATTATCATCCATAATAATGAATGTAGTATTCTGTGTTTAAAGATAGACAATATATCATCATCATAGAGCGCGTGAAGCGAAAAACATTGGATTCGAATATAAAAAAGATGTAAAATAAAATAAATGTAACCTTTTAAATATATATAATTGTAATAAAATAATTTCATCTGGTGAGTAATGTTTAATTAATAAATTAAATAATAACTATACAACATAAATTGGCGACGAGAATTTGAAAATATAACTGAAGCTCTTAAAAAAAGTATGGCAGCCAACCTGACGCCACCTTTACCCATGAATATGAATGCTAGCAATTTATTTGCGGAATATAAGCAATGGATGGAATCCTATGCCATTTTTGAAATAGCATCTGGAATTAAAAAAAAAAATCGGATGAAATTAAGAGAGCAACTCTATTGCATTGTTTAGGGACAAATGTACAACGTATATTTTTCAACTTGCCAGATAAAAAGGATAATTATGAACAAACAAAAATGACTTCAGATAAACATTTCACACCTCATAAAAATGAGGTCACTGAGAGATTTAAATTTAGACAAAGAGTCCAGAAAGATGATGAATCGATCGACAGCTACCTAATTTCTTTAAGAGAGCTTTCTAAATCTTGTGAATTTGGGAATTTAGAAGCTGATATGATAAGAGAACAAATAATTGAAAAAATTAACAACAAACAACTTAAAGAAAAATTGTTGCAACAAGAAAATTTGACACCGTCAAAAACCATTGATATTGCTAGAATGTTAGAAATTTATAGAAAATAAATTACACTTCTTGAACCTCAAAATGATCAAACATTAAATAGAGTTCTAATTAAACCTAAAAAGCACTATAATGCTAATAATTTCAACAAAGGTAGATTCACTAATCAAGGTACCCCATCATTTTCAGGTGCCTCAAAGCCTAAATGTTATCGCTGTGGATTAGATACACATTCAGCACAATAATGTGGTGCTAAAAAATGACTTTTTCATGTCGCAATAAATTAGGACATCTTTTTAGAGCTTGCAGGAACCGTCAAAATCAAAATAATAATATAAACCACAAAGGTTTCAATCAAACTAAAGTTAAGACCATACAAGGAGAAAATAAGACTGAAGTAGGTGAAAGTTCAGATGAATATACCTACTATACAGGTGCTGAAAATAAAGAAAAAGTGCAAATAGATAGTATTGAAATAAATATGATAATTGATACAGGGAGTGATAGAACTTTCATAAGCTATAATAAGATGCTTGAATTATATGGCCATAAAATTATGCCAAATTACATGACACCACCCGAACCTTTTTAGCCTATGGTCAAGATAGACCTTTTCCATGTTATGGTTATTTCAATGCTGTGATTTCTTGGAAAGAAAATTCAATTTCAGAAGAAATTTATGTGATTGATAAAAAGGTTGAATCTTTGTTGGGAGGCAAGGCTATTTTTGAACTAGGTATAATTAAACGGGTAAATCATGATGTAAATGAATCAATGTCTACTAATATAGAAACTCTTGTTCAAGAATATGAACATCTTTTCCATGGACTTGGAACTATAAAAGGCTATAGTAATAAAGTGACATTGAAAGACAACTATAGGCCC